ATAACTTCTCCTCTGAACTTGTCACAATTGAACTCCTTTCCCTAGAATCACTCTATTTTAGCTGTGCAAACACTTCATGTCTTAGCCAGAAACAGAGGAACTTTGATGGCATAAACTGCATATTAAAGAAACAGCAGAATACTCTGCATTCAGCTGTAGTTCTGGAACTGTTTTAAGTATATAAAGAAATTCAGTGAGTGGTTCACGGGACATGTAATAGCCAAAAACATTTTAAAAAATGCAATACTTTTATTAGGACCAAAACACAAAACAGTAGGCAAGTTTTCAAGTTCACAAAATGTTTAAAAATCTTATTGGCAGGCACACAGGAAACCAGTGTAAATTGTGATTGTGGCAGCACTGGAGACACACTACAACAGGTCGGGAATTTAGATCACAGAAGGGGAAAACGTAGCTCTGTCCCAGTGTATGCTGCCAATCCTAAACTGGGATTCCTCACACCACATCTGACTTGACCCTTGATCATAATCATGTTCTGGGTAAACACAGGCTTAACTACCTCACCAGGACTCCAGACCTCAAACACCTCATTAAGAACATGTCCATTGCGCCTTATGGAAAGGCTAGCAAGCACATCTATTCAAGCACACTGCCTTATGGAAGGCTAGCAAGCACATCTATTCAAGCACTCCCTCCTTCCCTGACAGATGATCCTGAATGACTGAGATAGCCACAGCTCCTCATCACTACTGTAAAGGTTGACTATTTAGCTTTGGCTTCTTCCAAGTTACAAAGAATGACAAGCTAACAGACTCAAACAAATGGCCTAACCACATACCTAAATTTTAATTGATACCAGCAAAAATTATTTCCAGTATATACAGACAGAATTTATTAAAAGTTTCATAGCAGGTTTAATGGAAGCCTTCAAAACTTAAATTTATTCTATCTACTTATTGGAGAGATGCTTACGATCTTTATGGTCTACTCTTTTTTGCTGGCCCTGGTTCTTAACATTGGGTTTTAATTAATATCTTTTAATGTTTTTATTTTATTATTTTTAATTTAAAAGCATCCTTGTGCATGTTCCTGGAAAGGCAGCATAAAAATGTTCTAAATCAATCAATAAACATTTCATGTTTCATCAAGACTTGTACTGACTTGTCCCTACTATATAGGCTCAACTTTTTGGGGGGTGGATCAACACTGGTTTTAACTTAAGGAACCTTCATTGGGAACATTTGGCTGCACAATCTTAGAAGAATATATAGTAGACCAGAGAGAAGTGCTACTGGACATGTGATTGTACTGGAGGCTTCATTTGTATTTTTGTATTTCTCTTCCTTGCCCAGTGGCTATACTTTCAATTGATCTCTGGTCTTTATTGCATATTGTGGATATGTATGATTGCCTATATTTGTATATATCAGCCTATATGTTCTATATGTATTAGACCTCTGAGGAAGGCCTGTAAAGGCCGAAACGCGTTAGGTCTACTTCATTAGCCCTTGTATGTTTTTATATATATGTTTGTTTATGAGGTATGAATGAGCCCTTCTTTGCTATTTTAATTTGTGTGTAATAAATACATGTATATTTTTGCATGATTTTTAGAGTTGGCCCTCTTCTATCCTTAACTACACAAACTTCACCATTTTGTGGTACCCAGACTGATCTCTTAAAAGTGTGTTGTTTTAACACTAAGACCTGCATATATGACAGAGGAATAAGACTTACTAATGGCACTGCAACTTACCATATCAGTGTGCTGTTCTTTGTTCTACCTACAGAGCCACCAGTTTTCATGAGCACTTGCTAGGGAATACATTGGGGATCGCAAAGAGTCAGACTCGACTGTGTGACTGAACAACAACCAACATTGTCCTATGTTTTTTGCCAATTGTTTCCTTTTCAGACTTTAAGACACGAGCAGCAAGAATATGGGCAACATGTTTAAATGGCATTGCAAATCTACTATCAAGTTGTTTTACCGAAAGCACCTTTGTCAGGTCCCAACCATATTTAAGAATTCTCATAAGACTAAACTGTTTCCACTGAAGTCCTAAACTATAAGTCAACTACAAGATATTATATTCCAGTATATGATGTCATATGTACATAGAGCGTTCTGCCCAGGTAGCTAACAGCAAGCACAAAGAGCAAAACTACAACACAAGAACACAGTCTAGATATTGGCTCATCTTCTGGCTCACTGCACTATTCAGATTCTGTATGTTCACCCTTTGCTACTGTTCTTCCATACATATCTCTGCAGCAGTCAACAGCTACATACTAATTATACGCCAGGAACCATGAATTATCCCCATAAGTAACTTTAACCAGACCCAAGTATGTACTGAGCCCTAGATCTCACTGTGGGGGAGCCAAACTCACCTTTTTCCACATACAATTTATGCATTAAACCAACCACTGAGAACATCTTCCTCATCTTATTAATGCAACTCGATGGCAGCTACAATCTGGGTTAAAAATGTTACATCTAATTGTTTTGTGAATTGATAGATGTACACACACCCCAACACATCTTCAACAGTATTTTAGGCTCAAACAAGATCTTTTTTTCTTATGCAGCCATTCCCTTTAGTGAAAGGAAAATGGTAGTTTAATACATGCAAATAACTGATTGCCATTTGCAGAGACAGCTGCTTCATTCAGAAGAAATTCTACAACAGAACTTCATGACTTTTTTTTTGGCATGCAAAATTTGTCCAAGCACAGCAAGAGAACACACAGGCCTCAGTCACTCCTTCAGATTTCTGTCAAATTTCCATATTATGTCATTCTTGATGGCATAAGACAGTGACTGCAATTATCCCAGTGTGAATCTCCAGATAAGACAGTGATCAAGGGTCAGGTGAGTTGACAGTCAGTAAAATATTGAGATTTCATTGTAAGGGAACAAAAATTATTAAGTCAACTGAAACACATCTCCATTTTCATTCAGGACACAATGCCCCACAACTGTAAACATCCCACATAGATTAATAATTGCAGGTAGTTTGTGAGCTGTAAACAAATTTCCAAGGAGAAAAGGCAAAGATGGTGCTAGGCACTGAACATTCTGGAGTCAACCATTTATATACTGAACTCGAGCTTTAGAATCTATGAATTAGCAGTCTGTAGCTCTGAATTATGCCAACTCTTGGCTCAATTCACAGGATTGTTCTCTGTGGCATTTTCAAGCAGGAGCTGATAAACAACGTTAAGGTAGTCCTTCAAAAACACACAGGCAAGGCAGAAGCCATCAAGCCATAACAGGAACATTATGACAGTCATCCACCCAATCAGCCTGAACAGACACTAGCAGTTCAAACGCAAGAAGAAAAATTTGTTCAAAGCCTCCACTAGCCTTAGATCTATTTATAGCTACCGTGCCTCTCTTCATTTTTGCCAAGGCCCCTTCTCTTCCCAGAGACAAATCAAACCAAGTTTGATGGATGGATATAATCTTGGGCTCTGTGCGACAAAAAACGGCAAGAAGCTCTGCAGCAGTCGTCCAGTCCCCCATACCTACCTCCGAAAGGCGACAGGAAGAAAGGAGGCAGGTTCGGCCAAAGTGGGAGCTACGTAACCAAGACCATTACCTCCCGCTCTCCCGGCAGCCGAACACGATTATCCCGGACTGCTGTGGCGTCAGAGCAATGACTTGATCGACGCCCGCCCCTCCTGCCGTCAGCCCCAGGCACAACCAATTGGCCGGAAGCCAGAGAGCAGTCCAGTCACTTCAGAGCTGACCCCGGCCAACGGCAGGCGACATCCACGCCGCTTTTCATTCACAGTCGAGTTGAAACGGAACTATTCGATTGGCCTGGCGGAGGAGGGGGCGGGGGACGGCCAGGCGTCTCTACGAGTTAGGGTCCAAAAATAAAGGTACGCTCCACAGTTTCGTAACCGGCAACGTGAGCGCACTGAGACCGCATGATGCCAAAGCACCGGCTGCCTCCTTTCCCTTCTCTCCGGGAGCAACGCCGCCGCCGCGGAGAGGGCTGCCCGCTTCGCCCTGCGTTGGCCGGCTTGCAACAATTCCCTCTCCTCCCCCCCCCCCCCCGCCCCAGTAGCCCTCCTCGCGGGGCCAATCCACGCGCCTTGCCTGCCTGCCGCCCCACAAACTCCCAACCCAGCGAGGTGACAGCAGCCCCGCGGCAAGTCCAACCCACCCACCTCTTCGGTCAGCCCCGCCGCCACCACCACCCCCTTCCCACCCAGTTCAATGCGGACTGCAGCCACGGGAAAGAGCGAAGAAGAGACGTGCCTTTCATCCGAGAATAGGAAGAGGCAAGCGATCCTGGGAGGGAGGGAAGGGAGGAAGGAAGGAAGGAAGGAGAGACGTGCCTTTCATCCGAGAATAGGAAGAGGCAAGCGATCCTGGGAGGGAGGAAAGGGAGGAAGGAAGGCGAGCCAGCAGGAACCCCCGAGAGAAAGAAAGGGAAGGGCGGAAGAAAAAAGAGAGAGAGAGAGAAAGCTCCGTCCCCGGATCGCCCCTGGGATTTGCCAGAGGAGGCAGGGTGAGGGGGGCAGCAGGATAATCCCGCAGAGGGCGGGGAGATAATCCAGGGCGGGAGGGAAAGGATTACTGCCCTCCCTCCGGAAAGTGTTCTCTCCCGCGTTGGAGCTAATCCAGGGAGAGCGAAAGAGGCTGGAGAGGAGCGAGGGGCGGGAAGGGCCACAAGCCCCCTGACAAAGGGGGGCGGCGGAAGGAAAACTCCCCCCTGATTGGCTTTCCCCCGGAAGATACCTGCGTGAGCCCTACAGCCAGGCGCCCGCCCGGGGCAGGCCGCCCCTCGCTTCCCCACCACCCCAGCCGGAGCCACTGGCGCAATCAAGGCGAACCCCCAGGGCCGTCCCGCCCCAGCCTCTCCTTTCCCCAAAAAAGGAGGTGGCGGGGCGGAAAAGGGGGCAAGGCTGGGCTCTGACGTCCCACCAGGCGAGGGGGCAGCAGTGGAGCAACAGGACCTCCTCCTCCTCCTCCAGCTCCGCGTGGGGAAGGCGCCGGAGCAATGAAGCGCCGCGGCAGTTACCGGCAAGCGTTGGCTGGCTGGCCGGCCCCGTCTTCCCACTCGCGCACGCTACCGCCGCCTCTTTCTTCTCAATGGGCGCTGCTCGGGCTCAGCCCCATTCGCGGTCTGCGAGGCTCAGAAGGGCTGCGCGCGGAGCGCTCTCCCTGCCTCCCCGGCCACGCTCGGGGGGGAAACTGGCGCCCGCCGTCCTCGTTCCTGCGCGCGCTGCCGCCAGAGCAGGCGCACCAAAGCAGCCCGGCCGTTGGTTAGCCAGCTACTGGGGAGGCCGCCAGCGGGCCGGCTGATCTGGCGGGAGCGCGCTCCTGCTCCGCCCCCTTTCCTGCAAAGCTCCGCCCTTTTGACTTCCCCCCCCTCCCTGCTCTTCAGAGTCCCGCCAGGCATTCCTATGCAAAGCCGGCGAACACGTGTGCAGTTCCTGCCGTGCCCTCCGGCTCCCTGTTCTGCTACGCTTCCGCGGCTTCTGATGACAAGGGCGAACCGCGGCGGCTCTTCCACGCTTAGTGCACAAGGAGTGACAGATAAAAAGAATCTCCTTCCTAGTTACCAGACGCCTCTGCCGGGGGAGGGTGCAAGGTAGCATGGCCGGAGTGGATGATGCCTCCCTGCCTACTTGACGTCGTTTTCCCTCCTCTGAGCTGAAGTGCGATTCTTCCTGTTGGTCTCCGAGTATCTGTTTTAAATCCAGCCAGCCCCTAATTAGACAGTAAGCCCTGTAGATAATTAATTTGGGGGGGGGGGGGCGGAACAAATCACCACCAGTCTACTCTCCTCGTTTCAGTACAGCTGTACATAAGAACATATGAGAGGCCAATGTTGGATCAGGCCAGTGGCCCATCTAGTCCAACACTCTGTCACACAGTGGCCAGAAATACCAGGTGCCATCAGGCGGTCCAGCAGTGGGGCCAGGACATTAGAAGCCCTCCCACTGTGGCCCCCCCCCAAGCACCAAGAAGACAGTGCATCACCTGCCCCAGCCTGTGAGTTCCTATCTATACCTTGTGGCTAATATCCACTGATGGACCTCTGCTCCATATGTTCTCTCCTGTCCACAGAGTGACTCCATAAGAACATAAGAGAAGCCAATGTTGGATCAGGCCAATGGCCCATCTAGTCCAACACTCTGTCACACAGTGGCCAAAAATACCAGGTGATATCAGGAGGTCCACCAGTGGGACCCGGGCACTAGGAGCCCTCCCACTATTGACCCCAAGCACCAAGAAGACAGAGCATCACTTGCCCCGGAGTCCCTATCTATACCTTGTGGCTAATAGCCACCGATGGACCTCTGCTCCATATCTATATATCTAATAGCCAAGTTGTCCCCTCCATGCGGATATCTAAATCCGCATTTGGGGGGCAGGGAGATTTTCTTGCACACTTGGGGCAGTCCCCAGGTATGCAGAAAAATCTAAAAAGTTTAAAAAACTGTACAGGGGATATTTAAATCCCCCCAAAAGTAAGAGCGTTCC